GTCTGGGATTTGTGCACAAGCATGAAGGTCCATGTGCCTCTACTATAGTCATCCACAATGGTAAGCATAAAAGGTGTTCCAGTTAGGTCATGTTGTCTATATGGACCCCATATGTCAATGTGCATTAATTCAAAGGTAGTTTTTGAATGAATTTGTGAGTTTTGAAACGGAAGTCTATTTTGTTTTGCTTTGTGACAAATGTCGCACGGTTCAACATTCTTAATGTTAGAAGCATTGCAAAGGTGTTTAAGGAAGCTAAGATGTTGTAAGCATTGAAATGAAGCATGACCAAGTTTAATATGCCAATCAACAAGAGTAAAGAGAGAAGCATTATCATTAAAAGGAATTTTATTTCTGGAATTTGAATTCTCAGCAGATAGAAGATTACAGATGTTCATTCTCCTATAACAATTTCCTACTCCACTACTCAGGAAACTATGGTCATCAAGTGTGTATAACTTTCCTTTCAGTTTTCCAACTACCAATGTCCTATCACTCTTCAGGTCCTGCATCAAGCAATATGTAGGATGGAAGATGAATTTAATTTGTGCAGTTTGACAGAGTTTAGGGACTGACAACAAATTAAGTTTAAAAGTGGGTACGTGAAGAACATCAGTCAAAGTGATTTTGTGGTTTATAGTAACGGTTCCAATGTGTTTGACAGCTTTGACAGAACCATCAGGTAACAACACAGAGGTAGGCTGTGTGACTGGTTTTAAGTTGGTCATTTGTGATGAATTTGTGCATATGTGATTATTGGCACTAGTGTCAATAATCCAAGTTCCATATTCCAGTTCATCAAGTGAAGTAAAAACAAAATGTTGAGTGTACATACCAGAATAATCCCTGAGATATGCAAAATTCACTTGATCTTCATTATCATTGAGCTTCTTTCCTTTCAGAATTTTCATCAATTCTTGCTGAACAATGGCAGCAATATCAGAAGAGGATGATGTATCCTTTGTAGTCACAGCAGCAAAATCATTATCAAAATCGAGTGGTGAATTATCTATTTTCACCACATTATTTGAAGTATTTCTCCAGCTAGGATCCTTTGTTCTTTGATCTTTCTTGTACCAATCCGGAAATCCAATAAGTCTAAAACATCCTTCCTTTGAATGTCCACTCATACCGCAGTGGTCACAGTACATTAATTCCTTATCAAAATTGTCATATCTTCTGTTAATTCTCCTTCCTACAGCATGGTTTCCTCTACCAAAAGTAGATCTACCGGTCCAATTCCCTCTTCCAGATCCATTTCTTCCACGTCCATCATTTCTAGCATTAGCTCCTCTAATCATCATCGCAGTATTATCATTGATTTCAGGATACAACATATGCACTTCTCTTTGTTTCTTCACCCTTAGAACCATAGAATAGGCTCTATTCACTGAGGGTAAAGGCTCCATCACAAGAACTTGATTTCTGACATTGTCATATGTATCATTCAGCCCCATCAGAAATTGCATAAGTTTATTGAAAGAAGCTGAATCTGAGACTTCCTTCGCAGCTCCACAAGTGCAAACTGGTGATGGCATAAGACATGCTATTTCATCCCATAATTTTTTAAGATTGGTGAAATATTTCTCCACTGTCATTGATCCTTGTGTCATGCTACTGATCTCTCTCTGCAACTGGTAAAGTAATGGCCCATTGCATTCACCATATCTCTCGTTTAATTCATCCCATAACTCCTTGGCTGATGTCGTGAAAATAAATGCTTCCACAATTTCCTTCGAGATTGAATTTAAAGTCCAAGATCTAACCATACAATCCACCCTATTCCATTGATCAAAATTTTTAGATTCACTATCTGGTTTCTCACATTTCCCGTTTACGAAGCCCAACTTTAATTTTACACCTAATGCTATTTTAATGGACCTGTTCCAGCTGAGATAGTTTTTACCTGTCAATTGTGAAGTTAC